TTTATTGCTAGTATTTAGGACCCTTAGGAAATGACTACTCAGAGACGTCTTCCAGGTGCAATTGGACTTGGGGTTTTGAGTCTTTTTCAAGAACTACCTCTTCAGTTTGTTAGGGATGATAAGTGCCTACTTGGCCCCTGGTTCCTTGGCACTGGACTGCAGTATTCTTTAAAACCCTTAGGCAGTCTCGGTCTTGGCATGCCAGGTAGAGGAACTGATCAGAGCAATTATGTTGTCTTAGCTAAAGTAGTAGAATGAACAGCAACAATAGAATCAAACACAACTTAGAAAATTGTAAACTGTGATAACTATTAATTTATCACTTTTAACTGTATGATTTGTGTCTATATTTAAAAAGCCAAGAAACCAGTATGCACGCTTCTAGTATGTCTTCGCTGCGCCTAACAAATCCTTCATGCACACCTGCTCTGTGTCTCTCCTGACAGCATAGTAGAGAGAGGACAGAATATGACAAGTCCTTTAAATAACAGATGGCTCCTTGCTGTGGCACTTCCCAGCTCTCTAAACCTTGGTCCCCTGCTCCAGGGCTCTGTAGTTCTCCCACTCTTTGTGAAGGATTTAAGAACCTGGGACTGAGAATCTTGTGGGAATGTTGCTTTCTTCACTCTGTAGGGTAATTCTTAATAATGGACCTTATGACAACTTAAACAGCTTATACAAAATAAGAAATCTAAGTCTCGTGGATCACATTACTGTGAACTGCACTCAGTTATAAAGTACCTAATAAGGATGTTTCTGATCAGTTCGCCATGGTTGCTGTAATCCTGGGACAAGTAGAAAGTAGTATTTTCTTGTTTTTGATGAAAGTTAGGGGTATGTGCTTACTTTATATGAATGCATATTGATGTCCCAAAGAAAGCATCACGTGTAGTTCAAGAACAGACAGCCGAGCATGGTGGCACACGCCTGTGTTACTGGTACTCTAGGGGACTGAGGCAGGATGATCACAAATTTGGACGTACCTGGAAAATAGGAAGTTAATGGGGCCTCATTGCAAAATAAGAAAATGTAGTGGGGATGCAGCTTGGTGCAGAGGCTTGGGTTCAGTCCCCATTACCAAAGGGGGGAAAAAAAAAGACTGAAAAGCTGTTTGTCTTTCACTTGCGTGGTTCGGGGCTCATCCTAGAGTGACAGTGACCTCTTTCATATCTTGTGTCCCTGTGAACCGGATTGGCTAAGTTTGCCCTTGTTTAAAGCACTCCAACCCCTGCCGTGGAGGGGCTATGGCAAGGATGTCTCAACTGGCCAACGGTGAGTCCTCAAGTCAAAAATAACAATAATAGTTTCTTTTTCTTTTTTTGACAAAGCTTTTTTTAAATTTTTATTTAAAGAGAATAAAAACAATAGATAAAATATTAGAAATGAATCAAAATTTAAAAAA